AGGATAAGAGGAGAGCTCTAGCAGCATACAAAGCCTGTCCTAGCGAGTACAACTTGCAGGCGCTTTGAGTTACTTGTAGCAAAGTCCAAGAGGCTGTCAGGAGATGTTCCAACGATTATTGGCTTCAGCTCTGCTCTCAGATACAGATAGCAGCAGACACAGGTAACATCAAAGGAATGTATGATGGTATCAAGCAGGCTTTAGGTCCAATACAGAAGAAATCTGCTCCCTTGAAGTCTGCTACAGGCATGATCATCCAGGACCAAGCACAGCAAATGGAACAATGGGTGAAGGACTACTCTGAGCTATATTCTGTGTCCTCACGCTGACCCTGTTTGGGAACTTTTTTGCTATCATGCTGAAGCACGCCTTTGGAACTGCAACAGAAGGTGTCTATCTCCAGACTAGATCAGATGGAAAGCTCGAGAGTGAAAACCAAAGTCCAGCTGAAATCCATGCGGGACTTCCTCTTCGCCGATGATGCAGCCATTGTTGTACACTCTGCTGAAGACCTCCAACAACTCATGACTCGCTTTAGCAAGGCCTGACAAGACTTTGGACTAACAATCAGCCTGAAGAAAACACAAGTCATGGGCCAGGGTGTGGACTCCCTCCCTCATCTCCATGCAAGAACTGGAGGTTGTCCATGACTTTGTGTACCTTGGCTCAACAATCTCTGACACTCTGTCCCTAGATGTCAAGCTGGATAAACACATTGGCAAAGCAGCTACCACGTTCTCTAGACTCACAAAGAGAGTACGGCTTAATAAGAAGCTGATGACACATACCAAGATCCAGGTCTATAGAGCCTGTGTCCTGAGCACACTCCTGGATGCAGTGAGTCCTGGACCCTTTGTGCACAGCAAGAGAGGAAGCTGAACACGTTCCATATGCATTGTCTCTGATGCATTTTTGGTATCACCTGGCAGGGCAAAGAGCTGCTCCAAGCGGTAGCAAGGTCCCAAATTGTTAAGGGCTTTATTAACAGCTTGAACCTGGCCTAGGAAGAGACAGGCAACCAATTCAGGCAGGCCAGGACTGGGGATATCATCATGCTAGTGATGAACCTGGGTGCTGCCTTTTGTACATGCTCGAATCTCTAGGTCAGTTTCAAAGGAAGCTCCACACAGTGAGCACTGCAATAGTCAAGGCTTGAGACTACCAGAATGTGCACCAATGCTGTCAGAGACCTCCTGCCCAGGAAGACAAGAGCAACTGAGCAATCTGGCAGAGCTGACAAAAGGCAGACATACACATGGGCAATATTTGATGTTCCATTGAAAGGGCCGGGGTCAAGGATCCTTCCCAAATTGCACTCTGTCCCTAAGATGGAGGGCGACTCTGTACAACCTACGGATAGTTCCTCGCAACTGGTCAGAGGGAATCCCCTGCCCCAAACAAGAGCTCTGTCTTATCCAGGTTTAGCTTCAGCTCATTGGCCTTCATCCACTCCAAAGTTGCTGCTGGGACTCAAACAACATCCACTCGAGAAGAAGTAAAGGAGAGAGAGAGAGAGAGAGAGAGAGAGCTGTGTGTCATCAGCATACTGGTGACTACACATGCCAAACCTCTGGATGAACTCTCCCATGTAGCCTTGTGTAGATGTTGAACAGCATTTGGAAAAAAATAATCGAGCTGTGCTTGAAGCAAGAGGAAGAACAAGGGGAAGGAAGGTCCACTGTATGTAGGGGGTGGAGAAAGGCTTATGGGTAAGAGAGAGAAAGGCAGAAGTGCTTCTCTCTTCTGCCAACAAAAGGAAAGCTGTGCTCATGTTAGTGTGGAATAAAGGAGAAAGGAAAGGCACAGCTGCCCAAGAGAGGCAAAGAGATGATACAGAAACATCTAGTAAATTTAAATGAATTTGAGTCTGCCGGGCGGGCAAGAGGAACTGCCTCCAAATGTATTAAATCAAAGGAATATTGACACAGCCAAGAAGAGTTATGAAGAATGCTGATGACACCCAGCTGTACATCTCCTTTTCACCAACTGCAGGTGACGCTGTCCTGTCCCTCCAGCGCTGCCTGGGGACCGTACTGCAATGGATGCAGAAAAATGGGCTAAGGCTGAACCTGGACAAGACGGAGGTGCTGAGGATGGGTGCTCCCACCATTGGCGGGCTGGGTGATTCCCTCTCATTTGGGGGGGTGACCCTCGCCGCAAAGAGTGGGGTACGCAGTCTGGGAATCCATCTGGACCTGGCGCTCACCATGGAGACTCAGGTGGCATCCGTGGTCCGCACCACCTTTTTTCATCTCTGGCAGATAGCCCGGCTGCGACCCTATCTCGACACGGGGCGCTCACTACCTTGGTACATGCGCTTGTAATCTCAAGATTAGACCACTGCAATGGTCTACGTGGGGCTGCCTTTGAGGTTGACGCGGAAACTCCAGGTGGTGCAGAATGCGGCGGCCAGACTCCTGACGGGAGCAAGAAAATTCCAACATATCTCTCCTATCCTGGCCGCATTGCATTGGCTGCCCATTCGGTTCTGCGTCGACTTCAAAGTTTTGATGCTCACGTATACGGCCCTAAACAGTTTAGGACCTTGATATTTGGCAGAATGTCTACTCCCACCAAGGTCTACCCGTGTCACCCGCACAAGCCAGGAGGTGAGGTTGAGGAGCCTGACGCAGAGGGAGGCCCAGAAGGAAAAAACAAGAAACCAGGCCTTCTCAGCGGTGGCTCCTTGCCTCTGGAACAACATATCTCCGGAGATTCGTGTGGCTCCCTCGCTGGGTATTTTTAAGGAGCTACTGAAAACATGGATGTTCAGGCAGGCCTTCCCCCTTTCCAGCTAATACCTAATTATTATTTTTGCCTTTCTGCTGTAATAAACCCTGTTTCTTGCCATCTTTGGGAAAATTTTATTTTTTATGCAAGTTATTTTATGTGATATGTCATATGTTTAATTTTATAGTGTATGTTGTAACCTGCCTAGAGTGGTCACAACTGACTAGATATGCAGGGTATAAATAAATAAATAAATAAATAAAGTCGCAATGACCAGATAGGCGGAGTATGCATGAATGAATGAATGAATGAATGAATGAATGAATGAATGAATGAATGAATGAATGAATGAATGTCAGACTATGAAGCTCTGGGAAGGAAACTCAAGGATGTTGAGGTCCACATAGGCTTCTTGTCCATCCTACCAGGACTCAGAAAAAGAATAGAAATGGAAAGGAAAACTCTTTGGGTGGGTGACTGGCTACAAAGGTGGTGCCGACACGAAGGACTGGGATTTTGGGACCACAGGCTAAGCTTCCTGGAAGGTGGACTGCTGGCAAGTGATGGGCTGCATCATACAGGTTGCAAAATATTCCTGTGGTTGATCATTGTCATTGCCCTTTTCTGTGCAGCAGAGAAGATTTAGCTTTAGCGTCACTGCTCCTGCCTATGGAACATCCTCCACCAAAGTCACTTTCCATGATGGCTTCTACTGAGTAGCTGACACCCCCCCACCCATGATTATCTCCTCCCTATGTTGTTTTTGGCGCCATCTTCCACCGTCATCATGACCAACAAATCCAGAAGAGGACATGTATCTCTGTGACATGTATCTTGCCCTTGACCCTTTCACCTGCTGGGACTTGTAACAGAGCCTAGCCCGCAACACGCCAGCTCTCTGCATCCCTGACTCACTGGAAAACTCAATTGCCATGTCCAGGTGTGTGTCTCAGAGCAGCCCCCCCCCCAAAAAAAGAGGGCTTTTGCTTCTGCACAAAGTGCTTATGCAGCCCTTCTTAGCAGATGGTGCTCCCGGGCCAGGCTGGGCCCGACATTGGCTTCCTGCTGAGCCTCCTTTCCCCTATTTGTCCCTATGGGTCAGGATGAAGGGGCAAACAGTTGCTGCGGGTGAAGGTCTAAACTTCTGGGAAATGTTGCTGTGGGCAGATAAGACATTCCAAGCTGAGGAACTCCACATTTCAAAGCAGGATTTTCAAACAGCTGCATCAATTTTTTTTAAAAATAATTAATACATTTTATTTGATCAACAAAGTGGCTGGTAGTCCTTTAACAACTTAAAAGCTTTTATTTGGAATACATTTTTATTCTGTGCTTGATATTCTGTGACCCTCAGCCTGTGGCCAGGGGAACTGCCAGGAACCAGGAGCCGGCTGTTCAGGCCTCTAAATAGGGAGAGTCCTACCTAAATTTGTCAGGCAGGAAAGGTTGGGAACACAGATGGACTCCTTATTCCAAAAGGCTCAGGTACCCCTTTGAAAACACCCCCCCCCCAATGCAACTGCCTACTCAGGAGGATGATATGTGGTTTTATTGTATAAGATCAGAAACCTGATTTCTTAGGGGTATGTATTTATTTAATACAGAAGAAAGCAAGGAAATTTCTTCCCTGCACACCAACAGCTCTGGGGCCCTTCTTTCTCACACATCATTGCACGGAGGATCTGTCCCCTTTTCCCTTCCGGGCAAGTGCCCTGCCTGGAAGAAAGAAAACCGCTTGAAGCCGTTCATTCTTTCTGGGCCGGGCAGAGTGCTTGGCGGCCCCAAGGGTGTGGCGTCTGCAGCTAAGACAGGGACCGTCCAGCAGCACCTTTGGGGGGGGGGCTCCCTCCCTGGTGCTGCCAGGCTCCCATGTGAGGGTCTTTTCCCTTCTCCCTCTCCAGGCCTCCCTCAAGAAGCTCATCCCTTCCATCATCAGCATCACGTGGCCCATCCTGTTTCTGGAATATGAAGGCAACTTCATCCAGGTGAGCCACAGGGGTGGCAAAAGGTAGGCTGTGGGGGGGGGGCGCGGCGAAGCGGAATGCAGTCCCTCCCCAAATACACACCGTCTAGGCGGGCGCATGGCTCCTCCTCACGAGGCTGATGTGCAGACAGGGCCCCACTCCATCTCCTCTCTTGGTGAGGGTGTCTCACTCCCAACACCAAGGCCACATTCTTCCTGGGCTGCTCCATGCACACAAACACTCCTGGCAAGCCGGAGCTGACCCTAACCCCCTAACCCTAGCCCCCCCTCCCTGCCTCGGAGGAGTCCTCCAGCCGCCCGCCACCTCCTTCCCTCTTGGCAGAGATTCCAGAGGGAGCTCAGCACCAAATGGATTCTCAACACGGTCAGCACTGGGGCCCATGTGCTGAAAGGGAAAATCCTTCGCAATTACATGGTGGACCTGCGTGTGAGCAACGCCAAGCTCTTTGAAAGGGCAGTCGCCATCCTGCAGGTACTGGTGGGTGTGGGTGTGTGTGGGGGGGTGGATGGGAGCTGCCCACGGGGACTGACCCTGGGAGGTGAGCAGCCCTCAAGAGACCAGGCAGAGCCCATGGATGGGTGGAGGGTGTTCTAAGGGGCCAGCCAG